CTGACAGATACTGTTTGTGGGGGCCCGCCAGTCAACCCACAGTTCCTTCCTACCCCACCAAGCCTGGACAGCTTTTATTCATTCATTCAACACAAATTAACTAAGCACTAGCTATATGCTAAGAACTTTTCCTGGCACTGGGGATATGATGTTGTATAAAGTAAAATCCCTGCCATCCTGGGGCTTATATTCAAATTGTAGAAAGTGCTATCCAGAAGAGTTAAGAGGAGATCTTTCCCATGGACAAAAAGGCTTCTTTGGGTTTGGTATCTGCGTCCTGGAGACTCTTTTCAATTAAATTCTCAAAGAAAATCCAAATGCAAAGGAACTGTTTTCCAATTCTTCTCTGCCTCAGAATAGCAGTGGAGGCTGAAAGGGTGTAAATTCATGTATGTCAGTAGAAAACTTGGCTAATGCTGCCACTTCCTGGGATCAGTTCCTATGAAAAACATAGACATCCTTTCTATTCTTCAGCTGCAAATGGATCTCTACCTCTGGCCTGACCTTTAAGCTTACAATGGCTTTGGCTACAAGCTGACCCACAACCCTGACTGACCCCAAACTTAAGCCTTCCAATTCCCCTAATAGTGCCATTCATCCTAGATGCCTACTATGGTCAACAGGGGTACTGGGTAAAGGGGTGAGGGCTCAGTGCTACCCTCTTCCACCATGAGGACAGTAGAGTTTGGTGCTAAAATAGAAGGGCAAGGGCCAATGAAATGAGGTAAGCTCTACATAGTATATTTTGGATACTTATTGTTAACATTTCTTTCTGAGCACCAATCAAATTGGAGTTCGAGTTTTGAGGGGGCATTCGTCTTCCAAATGATGCCACAACCTCTCAGTGGTTGTGGGTTACGGAGTATGTGGGGAAAAGATACTGTTGAGTATGTGGGGAAAAGATATTATTGAAAAGATAAGCAGAAAGGAGATATGTACTTGGTAATTCATCTTTGCAGCCTCATTCCTATGTCAACAGAAGCTACAGGGAACGAGAGGCCCGTTATTTGATTATTTATGCTAATACTTGCCTAAAATTAATGGAGTTGGAAGTTAGTGACTATATTTCTCATCGTAGTAGAAATGGTAGAGGCTGGGGATGGGCACCAGTGGAATGATATTCCTCGTTGAAGCCTGGCAAGCAGCCTACTGCTCTGGGGACCCTTGGTGTGGCTGTTTGCTTTGCAGCTGTGTTTTCTTCTGCCCCGAAGAGACATTCTTTTGTTTCTTTTTATTTTCTTCAGGAGAGTAAATAAGCTGGGAAGCAGGATATTGGACAAAGCCACAATGTGTGACTCCACTATTTTCTAGAGCCCTGGAATTCTCCAGGGCCCTGGAGACCTCTTCTAGATTGTCTACATCCACCTGCCCAAAGAAAAAAGGGATTCCTTTTGTGGAGGATTATGTAGACATTTTAGGAGTTGAGCACAGCGCTCGAGTCTAAGCTCATGCCCCCATTTAGATGCAAGGGAGAAATGTGGGTCAGCCAAGCGCTCAAGAATAGGGAATAGACTTGATGACCATTCAGCCTGCAGGACATTATGCTGCAGGAAAGCAAGAGTCCCAGGAAGACTCCATTTGAGCATTAGAGGCAATTCCCGATGGGTGGATTGTGAAAAGAGCAGGTAGATTGGCTGATCTGAACCCCTGGCTAATATTCTACCCAGGCCGCTGACACTCTTCATGTGGCTATTCCTTCTAGACCAAGCCCAATGTACACATTTCCAGTATGGCTTACTAAAAAAACATTAAAGTTGAGAATGCCATTTGGGAATGTGCTGGTGACAATGATAATTCCAATTCACTCAGCTCTGGGAATGCAAAGGGAGAATTAAGGTGGGCAGTGGGAACTCAGCTAGCATTGCTTTAACCTCCCTGGAGAATAAGCAACCCCTCTCTAGTAGAGTCCACCCAGTGCCAAGGGGAATCTCTTCCCTTCCTTTATTAGAGCCCCAAATCCCACCCTTACAATCTAGGTCTTCTAACCCCAAGAACCAGTGTTTCTCATTACTTCACAAATTCTTTGTAGCTCCTAGTAGAGGTGACATATAAGGTTACTGTCTCCTCCAGCCCCTGAGATCTGATTACCCACTGTGGGACGTGGAACTGTGAGGAGTGGGGAACAAGTTCCATAGGGATATTCTGTGGTAATGAAAAGAAATATGAGAAAATTCTAGGTGTAAACTTGGCTAACCTGACCCCCAAATGGAGCAGCAAATGCTAATGAGGGAGATTTCCTAAAACAGAATCAAAATAGGCCAGTCAG